TTTAGATCGGGGTGGTTTATGATCATTATGTTGCTCTACATGTTGGTGTGCATGTCACTACAGCCATCTGACCCTGTCAAAAGTCGCCACCTGAGTCCAAGCCTTCACACCCTGTCAGAACCCTTCCACTATTCACACAAATACAGTCATAATTTAGTAGGCCAATCGAGACAGCAAGTTCTTACTGTTGGAGTCCCTGCAAGCTCTACTGCCAGCAGAGAAATGAACCAGGAGCAGCCGGAAGGAGATTTAGTGTGATACTACTTAGTGATCTGAGCTGTTTAAAACTTCCAGAGCCGGATACCAGGCTAATTTACTTTAGACTATTAAAAAGGGTTAAATTTTGAAAAAAAAAAATTCCTGGTAACCATCCTGTGCACACGAAAGCTTAATGACTACATGTGGACTCTTTTGCAAAGTACACAATGACCTCTACCATGTTCAAGGTCCTACCTCACCAGGCTGTAAAGTACTTATGACATCTCCCCTAAGGGGGAGTTCTACTTACTGAGAAAGAAAGCTAATGATGAAGGTCTTGAGAGGGAGAGTCTGGGATAAACATTCTGGGGGATTTAGGTGAGGCCTGGCTGTGCAGATAGAAAAAGGTCACCAGGTTATTTACAACATCCACTTCTGCCTCCAGGTGGAAAGCAGGTGTATACAACCCTTCTGTGGAAGAGACAAGCCTGTGCGCTTAACATTTCTTGTTTTCCTAGTGTTTGTCTGTGAGCAGGATGGCATCCTTTCCTTTACATGTTATCTTTGTCATCCATTGGAATTAAAGACAATGGTGGGTCAACTCTGAAGACTATGACTTTGTTTCTTGATAGTTAATCAGATTTTTAACTGTGTGTATAACTTCCCCATCAGCCCCACATTTCCCCTTAGTATAGAAAGCACCATAGCAGAGTAGTTTCCATTGTCAGATACCACCCACATCTCTACTTCCAGAACTATGACTGATTTGGGTCTGACCCTCAAGATTATTGTGATGTTCAAATAATAAAGGTATGCTTTTCTTTCCTGAAAAGCAAAAATAGGTGAAATAGTCCTAGAAATCTGTTCCCCACAAAGATACAACAGTGATACTTCCTTTGTAAAAGTGGCTACTGTACCACAGTTAAGGATCTTTGGTTTTTCTGGATGTACCAAACCGACTCCCTCGGCCCTTTGATTCTGTCTTTGGGCTAGAAAGTAAGCTCCTATTCAGACAGAAATCAGGCTAATGATATCAACCATCAATAGCAGTGTTTTTACTATTTATTGCTTAGGTGACAGATATAATTCCTGGACTCTTGAGTCCTATTGTATAAAATAAAAGCACTTGACTCAATTACTTTCAAAATGTATTTCAGCTAAAAAAAAAAAAACAATACTTTAAAATTTTTATTTCATGCAAGGAAGCCACTGGGATTATTACCACAAATATGTACCATGGTGAAGGTAGTTATCATTTTTTTCCTCCAATCTATACAGTAGATTTCATTAAAATGAAGATACCGTCAGGTTTCATTGTAATATAATATCTGATAGATGCTGTGGCTTTAGTATCAAAATTCTGCTCAGGATAAATGCAAGCCTTTAAAATGCGTTTGTGTTGTGTATTTGTAGCTTTGGATCAATGAGGTCCTGGTCCTGGCACATCCTTAGCAGTTGTTAGCTATACTTCAAATTCTTTGCTTCTAGTAATATCTAAAAAGGAATAAAGCTTGTTAGTGGGGTGTCACAGGGATACAAAGATATCACTAGCAAAAAATTATTTTGTTCTCATAAATTGTGATGTGATTTTGGAGCATAAAATGTAGCAAATGGAGTTACGAGGCTCCTGCTATCTTCATCATGACTTCCCACAGGATGAAGAGCTATGGCTAGGGAGCTTAAAGCATCAGTGTCTGGCTCCCAGCTGTAGAGGTTCTGAATTAATTGGTCTGATGTGCATCTTCAGAAAGAAATTTTAAAATATCCTCAGAATTGATATGAAAATATTGCTCTGTCAGAATTCATATGAAAATATTGCTCTGAATGAACACATGCGTGCATGCCCGCATGCGCGCACACACACACACACACACACACACACACACACTCATATGAACTCACACTTGTTTTCTGGACTGTGAACAAATGGCCAAGCTACCAGACAAGATCTGAAATTGACTACATGATATCAACTTCAACTGCTTAGTATTCTCACTATCTAATTTTTCATCCAGAATATAATAATCTGGATTATATCATATGCATTTTCAGCCCTAGACAATGGACAACTTTGTTGGAAGTTATTTTAAAGTACAACCTTTGTCTTCATTAGAATTTCTATTGTTGTGAAGAGCCACCATGCCCACAGCAACTCATATAAAGAAAAAAAACATTTAATTGGGGCTGTCTTACTGTTCAGAGGTTTAGTCCATTATCATCATGGTGGGAAGCATAGCTGCCCACAGGCAGGCATAGTCCTGGAGTAGTTGAGAGTTCTACATCAGGATTGTCAGGCAGCAGGAAGACAGAGATGCTGGACCTGTCTTGAGCATTTGAAACCCCAAAACTCACCCTTAGTGACACACTTCTTCCAACAACGCCACACCCCCTAATGCAGCACTCTAAGCTTTCAAATATGAGTCTGGGGGGTGGGCATGGGATTATTATTTTAACCACCACACACTTAATAAGTGTTTTCTGACATGAAATAAAGAACTTTACGTTAGAGTAATTTTATTTCATGTTTTATGTGACAGCAGACTGATGTTTGTATTCAGCCTTAAACATAAGCAAGGCAACATTCATCATATAGATCATAAACACTGTTTTGACTAGCCAAAGAAAATTTACCTAAACATAAATAGAAGACAACGCAATTAAATAATAGTTTTCCATTTTACAAACAATGCTCTCCACATCTCAAAGCAAATTTTTTAAATCCTTTTTATAGGAACCACTCCGGAAAGACTCCTGTCTGTTTAGAGTCTCTATCAGTGTAGTGAAATAGTGCTGTAAAGAGGGGAGCAGCCTCAGATAACTTATGTTCATTCTTTGGTCTTGCAAATGAAGACATGGAGATGCTCAATTATAGGTCCCTGTTAAGTAGATGTCAGAACAGATGTCACTTCATATTCTGTATCGTGGTTCTACATTTCCTTCTTACTTTATGCAGTTTTCATATGTTCACCCCTTGTATCTGAAATGGCTATTCTGCCATTTATACTTGTCCTAGAAATTGGGTACATATGATGCATACTGTCACATCTTAAGGAACAGTTCTTTTATGCTGCTTACAAAGAGGTAGCTCAGATTTGTTTGGATTTCTCTGTAATTAGCTTCCAAAGTAGTACTTTGAGACCACAAGTCAGAAGTGAATATGTGATCACATCTTGTATTGTTTCTTATGGTCTGCTGCTGTTATACTAATACTTTTCCCATCTCCAACTGGCTTTACTTTTGCAGCTTTGAGCAGTAATTCAGTCCCCTACGCCTCCCTGATTGGCTCTGTGTCCTCCCTCTCTAGCCAAACCACCACTCAGTCCATATATGATAATAACTCTCTCCCACGATTCGCTCGAAAAGGTCTAAACATCTTTGTCTCTATTACCTTCTCTGTTAAAGCACTGCAATGATGTCCACATCACCCATTTCCATGTCCAGATCAGCCTAACATTCCTGTGCTTTTGCATTTCCATTCTTTTCTCTGGGGAGTGCCTCATCTGGATAAGCTCACTCTTAATTACTAGATTGTTGTCACCCACCCTTTCACTCCGCCGAATGTAAATTTGTTCAATTATACCATCTATATGAAAAGCTTCAGAAGGGCTCCAAAATTTTGGTCCGGATATGTAATTATATCATCAACAAAGAGAATCTGCATCTAATCAACTCATTTCTGTTGGCTCTCTACCAAGATTTTGGCTCCTATAAGTAGACCTTCACAGCCATGAACACAAAGCCACCATAGACTACAGCACTGTGCTAAGCACAGCTCGATTATCTTGAAGAAGCCAAGTTGTTTTGTTTTTTTAACTTAATTTACCATAACCATTGATAATTTGGCATTGCAGATAAAGGAACTTAGGGGGTGACTTTACATAATGACACCATTTCTAAAGCACTCATAAATCCTGTCACGTTGATCTAATGGTCATCCTTCCAGCCTGTTACCCTCCAGAGTTGCAGTGACAGCAGAGCATCACCAGAGCTTCCAGTTGGAGCTCCCCACTTCTAATTTTCTACTTCAGATGCTTCCCTGGGGGCATGTTAGTTCATGTCTCAATCCAGCTGGAATTTGTGCCTCTTAATATCCGAGTCAGCAATTCTCTCTCATGGTGCACTTGCAAAATTAATCTCAATGAGACAAGACCAAGGCATGTGAACACAGAGAAAAAAAAAATCAGAAAACACAAGAATCATCAAAATTAGCAGCCGATTATTTTTAACAAATACTGAGAAATTAGTGTGTCTTCAGCTGGCCGACTGAACTAAGATGTATTGGTCCCCACTGCTTTCTTTACTTTCCTTGTATTTTCATCTGTCATTTGCTTATTTTCCTGAATTCATTGCCCATTAGGGACAAAGATGTTTACACCTGAAGTAGGTTGTAGGCTTGCTGGGGGTTGAAGAGTGAGACTTGGGAGCAAAATACCGCTGTATTGTTAGTGTGGCAATTTATAAATGATTAGAAGGCTGCAACCCCAGCCTCTACAATCTGCTACTAGTGGAAACATTTTTGAAGTTCAGTTTGGTTTGGTGTCAGTGTGTTGTTGGTAGCCACTGTCAATGAGCTGTTGTGCATGGCATTTTCTGTGTCCATATTTGCATGTGAATGTTATCACCTGATATGTCTGTGAAATACTAAAGTGATCCTCATCTATCATATTGTATGGGAAACCACTCACAAGCTTGTATTTTATTAGTCCTTTATAAAGCTGCATCAGGCAATCCATTCCATTTTTTTTAAAAACAAATCCATTCAATTATTTTTATTTTTATTTACACCATCATTTTCTTTGCAGGTTCAGATGATTCCGGTTACCCTGGTAACCTTCATTTTTCAAGTTAGTTTTCTTTGATTATGCATAAGTCACTTTGTGTTTCCTATCAGGCTGCTCCTCCTTCCCTTTCAGGCCTTCTTCACTGTCTGTTCCTTGGTTGACTTTACACCATTTAATTCCGCACAATTTCCATTTCACACAGTGCAGGAGAAGGAGTCTGAGATGGTATAACAGTAATTACTCAAAGCAGAAGTTGACATCAGGCCCGACTTTCAGTTTTTCCTACTAGCTAACCTCATTGATTCATAGTGCAGTAACACTTTCTTCCACACTAGGAATGCTAGTTGGGGGAATATGCTTGGTGGATTTTCTACTTGGTTCCAAAATCCTCCCTTTAGAGCATGTCCTGCTTTGAGTAACCAGACTATCTGCCTGCTTCTTCACATAAAACATCTTTACTACTCACATGTTTTCAGGCCATTTCTAACTACAGCATTCACTGTGTTTTGGACATGTTAGCATCATTTAGTTTTTATTCAAACGTGTTTCCTCTTCATTTTTAATATCTATGGCTAGCCATCCTCCAATACCTATCTTGGAACTTGCAGATCATATTGAGAGGTTGAAAGCAAATGACAACCTGAAGTTTTCCCAGGAATATGAGGTAATACACTTCATTTATGTGACAGAACTTCTAATGAATGCATGCCTTTGTTTTTGACTAGAAAATCAACATAGGTACTTTTCTATTGAAATGCTACTCCAAATCAGATACAATTTGAATGAATGAATAATTAAATCAATATAGAAGCTGCATTTTATAGGTATTGTTTTTAGATTTGTTCAGTGTAACTTGAGTAAATAGTGATATTTGTCTTATTTTAATTTTTTTTTTGCTTTTTTTTCCCCTTTTGGATATTGAGTCCATGACATGTTCTCACTCAGTAAGCTTCTAAGTGTTCCAAATAGGTGCAAATTAATTATTCATGGTACGAATCTTTGCTGAGTGGTGGCAGTGCGTGCCTTCAATTCCAGCACTTCTCAGGCAGAAACAGGTGATCTCTGAGTTCAAGGCCAGCCTGGTCTACAGAGCAAGTTCAAGTTCTAGGGCAGCCAGAACTACACAGAGAAACCCTCTCTCAAAAAAATAAACAGAAAAATCAAATAAACAAAAATAAGCATCTTGCCTGCAAACGATATCATATATCATATCACCAGGATCAAGTACACTTTGTATTTTGTGGTTTATTTATTCAATGTTCATGTGTTATTTGTGAGTATACATATGTGGAAGTCCTAAGAAAAGTGGCAGGAGTCAGTTCTCCCATTGAGCATGGGATTCTGGGAATGTAGGCTCCTTTCATGCTGAGCCATCTTGCTGGCCCCATAAGTACAACATTTCTAAATAAAATGTTTCCCATGCCTGAGAACTCTATACTTACTGAATCACCAGCTACTGTAAAAAATAATGCTAAGGGGTCAGATTAACAGAAATGTGCCTGTTTCCAAACTAACTAGTATGGTAGAATTCCAGAGTCCTTAAAGATTCTATGTGAGCCAGGGGCATTAACCGCCTTTAATCCCAGCACTTGGGAGGCAGAGGCAGGCGGATATCTGTGAGTTCAAGACCATCCTGGTCTACAAGAGCTAGCTCCAGGACAGTCACCAAACCCACAGAGAAACCTTGTCTCGAAAAAAAAAGAAAAAAGAAAAAAAGAAAGATTCTATGTGGATTTTTGGGAGAGAGACACACAGAGAGAGTTTATTTGGATACTGTGACTGTGTCATTTGTTAAGCAACATAATGCAAAACTGGCCATTAGTAATAGGGGCTCATGGAGAAGCCTGTTTATGTATCACTACTAAACGAGCATCATTGTTTTTGGACTTTATGTGTTGCAGCACAAGATTTAAATATACCACTAAAATCTTCTAATTGTTGCGAACAACATATTGGGGGCTTATCATCAGCAGACTTTTTACTGATTTGCTTACGGCAAGTCTTAAATATGGCTCTTCCCCATGCCCTTCTTTGTCTTTCCTGTATCAGTTTCCAATGCAGTTGTTCAAGATAGTCTTTGTCTATCAGCTGTTACAGTCTGTCCTATCACATGCAGTGAGAAACTTCTACGAAATGTACCATTGAGGGGTCAGAGAGATCACAGACCTCAGACATGCCATATCTGAGGCAATCTATTTATATAGCCTACCTAACCACCCTCCTCTGCCTCTTCATCTTTCCCCATCTCTCTCCCTTTCCTTCCCCTCCTTCTTTCTGTCTCATGCTTATTTCTGTTTCTTCCTTTCTTTTTCACTAACCCTAACCCTGTTGCCCAGGATTGGTGATTGAATCCAGGGCCTCATGCTTACTAAAGGCTGCTCTCACACTGAAATACATAGTAGATGTTTACTTTTAATTTTGAACTCAGGGTCTCACTAAGTTTCTCAGGCTATCCTCAAACTTAGGATCATCCTAACACAGTTCCTGTGTAAGTGACACCATAGATCTGGACACCATATCCGGCTTCCTAGTTTTATGCTGGATAAGCAAGCTATCTGAATTGGTGTCCACTGTTACTCTCCAGCCTTGCCCAGTTTGCATATTCTAAAATTTTTGTGCTTTTTGATAGAACACAAAGTTGGATTTTTTTCCTTTTTAATGGGCTTCAGTCATATTGTCCTTTTTTCTTCTTCAAGCATTCAGGGAAATTAATACTGGACCAAATCTGGTCATATATTTTTAAAGCCCTGCTTCTCACCCCATTTATATCTTCCTCTAATGTATAGTGACCCTTGTTAAACAATGAAATAGGCTTTAAAACGGCTCTGATACCTTATTTGGAGCTTGAGGATAAAAACTGAAAGAGTGAATTCCGGGGCAACAGAAACTCTTAGTTTTGTGGTCAGTTTTCATCAACCAGAATCTTTTTTTTTTTTTTTTTTTTTTTTTTTGGTTTTTAGAGACAGGGTTTCCAGCTTTGTAGCATTGGAGCCTTTCCTGCACTTGCTCTAGATACCAGGCTGCCCTTGAACTCACAGAGATCCAACTGCCTTTGCCTCTGAGTGCTGGGATTAAAGGCGTGTGCCACCAAAGCCTGGCATCAACCAGAATCTTCACTGTTCTTTATTGTTGACATGTTGTCGTTCTTGTTTTTCTGTATATTTTCTTCATGATCCTGTTTTAATTCTTTATTTGCAATGTCATAGTGGGTCACAAAAAAACAAAATCTTTCAGCTGATCAATAAACCAATACCCCGGTCTCCACCAGGGGACTTCAAACCTCTCCAGCAAATTTACTTGTATCCATTGAAAAAAAATTGCTGGCCTCATTTAAATATAGAAATTCTCAAGAAATGTTCCATGCAAAGCTAATCTAATGATCATTTAGATCAGAAGCACTCCTTAAAGTGGCTATGAACTGCATGCTGGCATGACTGCCATTAACAACTCCCTGAGTCACCTCAGCCATTGACATGATAGCCCACACAGAGTCTTTACCATTCATCAGGAAGATGATCTGTGATTAAAGCTCCCTGGGCATGAATTGACTGGACTGTGTCTTAACAGCCATGAAGGAGATATCTAAGTGTTGTACTCATCTGTGGCAATAAGAGTAAAGTATTTATATGTTAATATCATAGCAACACTTTGTGAAATCATTTTCTTAGTAACTACCGTATAAACTTGAATATATTTTAACTGACTTTCAGTAAAGTAAAAGAAAAGGAAACTCTCATTACATTCAAACATCTCATGATTTTGGCTTAATCACTGTGGATTAATGTTCATTTGAACTTGCTTAAGCTGACTAAAGCAAAAATTTGTCATTCTAATTTGGAAAAAAAACAAAACAAGACTAATGACATGAAAGTTGTTTATAGTGGTCTGGAGACAGAATAGGCAGATACAAGTCAAATCACACATCAGATCCCATCATTGGAGTCAATGACAGATGAAAATGTACCCTGGAAAATGAGCTTAACCTCATATTGTAAGGTTAAGTCATATTGAATGCTTTAGTCATTTTAAATGCTTTAAGTTTTCATGTTCTTATATGAGAAGAAAATGTCACTGAAATGTGAACAATCTCCATTTGAATATAGCAGCTATCATGCACAGAATGAAGTCCACTCTCAAAATCAATGAATTAGGCTTACAAACGTTTAGGACTCAAAAGAAGTGCAGGTTTTGCAAAACAGAATGGTATTACTTGGAAGTCTAGCCAACTTTAAACTGTCATAGTGCTTCTTTCACTTGGCTTCATTCTTTCTGCCTTTCTGTGCTGAACAAGAGAGAGAAAATACTTTTTAAAGGTATACTTCTAAGATGGTCAAGACAATTGTATATGGCTAAAAATAAGAAGACGTGCACTTAATGAACTGATCTTAAGAATTAATGGAAATTTGTCAGAATGAGATGGAAAACTGGAATAATATAGAAAAGGAAGAAGTACGAGTGGAACTGGGATGAAAAAGGCTGAGGATTTTGCCAAGGGCAAAGTCAAAGGCACATAGTAAAAGTGTGTTCTCGTAATCACATGATTAGCACTGATATCACCTGGGACTACTAAAGATTCAGAGTTTTAGTTACTGTCCCAAACCTGATGAGTCAGATCCTGCTGCTTAATAAGATACTATGATATCTTGAAGAAAATATATGTAGAGAAGTAGCATCTAGTTGACTTGTGATGTTATAGATTGTTCATCTTAGACAATTGGGTGAGGTGAAATTGGATCCGTGTAGAAGGCCAAGAGTCGTCATGAACTTCCAAATGCTGTGCCAATGGTAAGACCTATGTGTTTGGGTGGTAGAAAGGCCATGGGATTTAATGCAAACATATTTACATTTTGATTTGGATACTTTGTCCAGTTGTCGCTTTTCACAGTGGCATACCATAAGTTCCGCATGTATAAATTGTGTGGTAGGAGAATTAGGAAATGTTATGCCTGTGAGTATGTAAATGGCCGTTTCAAAACTGGAAGCTTCTGATAAAGGGAACCAGAGAAAGCTGGCAATTGTATCCATTACTTTAAAAGCTTAAGTATATATTAATGGATTAAAGTCTTATCATGCCTATTCTGCAGAAATTCATTCTCTCATTAAACAGGTATGCCAATAAAATTTTGTTTTACAGTATAGTCAATCTGATGTTTAAAAACCTTCCCAGGATTTGATCACAATTCAAAGCGTATTTACAAAGTAATTTCTTAATAAAATTAATCTGTAGTGTATATAATGAACACAAATATAGAGAAACTGATGAAGATGACAATTGGGGGATCATATAAAGCAATGCTAGTTCAGGAATAGATACGTTTGAACTCAAAATTGAAAAAAACTGTTTTTTTGCCTTCTGTGAATTTCCACAAGTGCCCTCTTAACACAAGCCTGGCAGGAGTAACTCTCTCTTAACTGTGCAGATATGCCCTTTACCCCTGCAAAATAGATTCAGTAACCTATTGATATAGACAGATTTGCCCCATCCCAGGAGTCAAGGCCCCCAGCATGCAAATGTTCAAGGGATCATGATCCAAGTGCTTTAGGAAGATAGAAATAAAACCTGACTTCCAGTTTGGTTCTCAACATTGAGTTTCTCGGTTTCTCCAACTCACAGATCATAATTCAAGTACACTCTAAGTTTTACAAACTTGGTGGTGTGGATTG